ATATATATATAATATATATGTGTGGTGGGGGGTACCTATGCAATACTTAACGTGTATTTATGTGCCCAATTCATTTATATTTATATATGAATGTGTTTGTGTGTGTTTGTGTTTATTTATATATATATGTAAATGTAAATGCAAATATATATGTATGTATATTGTTATGTATACGTATACGTATATGTATATGTATATATAATTTGTGTATGCGAATGCGGGGTGTATAATTTGTATTGAGTGGATATACATACACGTTTGGAAATACATGTGGGCTTCAGGAGGGCAATTGAATTTAATATACAATAAGCCGCAGCGGAAGGTTTTATATATACTTCAGTAGCAATCAAATCAGTAGCAATCAAATGTTGTGACGTGAATTCAGCTGTTTGCATGCGAGTATATGGATCAGTCGCAATGGTGTGAACACTACATATATATACATATATATGTGTGTGTGTGTTTATATATATATATATATGTATATATATATACGCTGTTCCGCATCTAAAATCAGTTCATCCTTTGTTTACGTTATGTTATGTTCGAAATCCCTGTCAATTCGGCTAGTGCTCTATTGCTAACGTACAACTGTTGTGGTTGTGTACCGTCACATTGAAAACAGACAACGAGGGTTCTGAAAGCCTGGCTACGCGACCATCACGATAAACCCTACCCCACTGCGCGAGAGAAGGACTTGCTCACACAGCAAACCGGGCTGAGCCTTACACAGGTGAGTTTATGTACTGTATAATAACCTTTTGCCCGCTCGTGTATATAGTTCGTAACTTCTGTCGATGGCTGCAGACGGATTTGATGAAATTGTGAATCCCTCGAGAATACCAATTACTGTATGGTACATATCTGATACATCTCTTTATCTTTACTCTCTTGGCATCAGATTAACTACTGGTTTACGAATGCCCGACGACGGTACTTGCCAAAGATGAGCTTGATGACCGATGGCTCATCCGAAATCGCCACTGTGAGTATACGCATCTATTGGAATTTGTCAACCTAAGATCTGCACGTGTGATGTGTATATGTTGTTGTGGTTGTTGTTGTTGTTGTGGAGGGGTTTTTTTGTGGTTGTTGTTGTTTTTGTGGTTGTGTTGTTGTTGTTGTTGTTGTTTTTGTATGCTGGGGACAATCTCACAACAATTGATGCGATTTGCGTCATGGCTGGTGTGATGTGGACACATCTGTGACTTGTCCCATTGTTGTTCGGCGGTTGTTCTTATTTTTCGCTTGTACTCTCCACAGCGCACCTCCTCATCGCCCGATAGCATCCATATGCAAAACGGTGAAATAGTTGATGGCTCATCCCTTGTGGCCCTGGCCGCTCCAGCAGAAGTTGGAAAGGTACGCCCTACATAGTATTACGAACAGATTGGGGAATCATTTCGATCATGCAAGCATGCAAACATATTTTTTAATATATGTAGCCATTGCAGTTGCATTGCAGTTGTGTATATCGTATTCGTCAATAAGTATATCTGAGTCTACTTTTAATACAACCGTCGATAGCGAGAAGAGTAGATATATTGCTCTTGTATGTAGGGTGGACCTAACTGGTCCCTCATTCCCATCACTCCTTTTTTTTTACCCTCAGAGTCAGGCTCTCGTACCTACTTCGTCGTTAACAGCCTTGGCCGCCCCGGGCGATATCACTGCCAAATCCGAGTCGAACACCGTTACCATGGCAAACACCACTAACGCGCTGCCTGGGGCGCCTAGTGCCAGCGCCCTACCAAACCCAACAATAACTTCTACATGCACAGGCACGCACACGACGACAACTGCAACTAGGGCTAATGCTGACACCACTGCAGGACAAAGTGGCCCAAATGGCGAAGCGAAGTGTAAGTGCTGCGACAAGGATACGAACGAACTGGAGAAGACGATGCTGGACTTCATCGTCAAGTGCAACGCTATGCGTTCTCTCGATGGGCGTCCAGGGGAGGCAGGCTCAGAGGATGGCAAGCGCAAGGGGGGAAATAGAGCCAATCCTGCGGTATATCCATCATACAATATATATATATATCAAATTATTCATATTACTGTTTGCAGACAACATCTGTATATACTACAATTCATATGTATCATTTGTTTGTAGATCTCCGTCCGCGCAGACACGTCTTGTAATCGATGTTTACAATGTTTGACGCTCATGACTGGTCGTTCAGTGCTATTTTGAATCCACACCTTTTTGTGTCATGGCGTGTTTGCGTATTGTTGACTTAATATGCATCATACGTCCTACATAGTGCCGCACCGCTATTTTTTATGATAAAGACAGCGAGCGGTATCCTTGAGCGGTAGCCAATGAGTCGCAGTCCATGTTTTAGTGTCTGGCTTGAATTCGCTGGTAAATGTTTTTTTAGCTCAGCACGGTTTTTGAGCTGTTGTTCTTCTGGAAAAAGACTCGCTTATGTTTGCAGCAGACGAAATGGAGGTGCTGTGATCGTCCATGTGAATTGGGCTACCCTGCTTTGTATTCGCAGGCGCATATGAGCCTTTGGAGTGTCCAGTGTCCTGGCTGGTTGTTCGCTTACTATTACTATCAGAGTTCCTTCTTCTCAGCACGTAGTTAGGGGAATACTGTGGGCAATGCAGCTTTTAGAGCAATTTTATTTATATAGTTTTTTATGTATAATATATCAGTTTATGACTGTAACTTATATTTATATACATGTACGCAACAATTTAACCGCCTTCGCTATGCTCTTATTTATAACGTCAGACGACACGCATCCTACGCGAATGGTTGAACGAACACTACCAGCACCCCTATCCCGATGCCGATGAAAAGGAAGAGCTCTGCAAGAAAACCGGCATGACTATCATTCAGGTATATACCCTATATATATATATCTGTATCTATATCTATATATTGACACGTCCGGAGTTTTTTTTAGTAGAGTACGTTTTCCGTTGTGTTCGATATAGTCGTCGTATACTGCCATCGCTCACTGCACGGTCTTCTGATGGACTCAAAGTGCGACTTCACGCACTATTCATGTTCGCCAGATTTCATCTAGAGCCGTATCCCCATCGTGGGATCCTCTGCGCGCACAGCTTGCCTTTCACCGGCATATCCCGCGCAGTACAGACACATACTCTTACGATTACATTCGCTATGATACCTGGGTTAGTACGCTGACCCCAGCAATGTACACTAACATATGTACATGGTTTTATTTTGGATATTATTTGAATCTAACTATATCATACGTATATGCATACATCCATCACGCACAGGTAAACTATTGGTTCGTGAATGCACGCCGAAGGTATCTGCCCAAGTCCTCCAAGACACAGTCAGCCATCAACAGTCACAAAGCACAGACCACAGAGGCGCTTATGCAACAGTATCGCGATGCCCTTCCCGGTGTGTCCGGCGTCTCCGCTTCTGGCACAGACCGGGGCCAGCCATTGAGCACGGGGCAGTACGATGTGCACTTGGCCTCTACTACCGAGGGATTGATATCACTATCAGATACGCAGGCGGTTAATTGTGTTGTTACGCTGCCCCCGCACCCGGTGTATCCGATGTCTAGAGGCTCGGCTGGGCTGGGGCTGGTAGGAATGGGTATGGGCATGGGGTTGGATCTGAATAGAGTGGATGCCAAGGGACCGGAGACGGCCTCCCCTGAGGCATTGGCCTTGAACGGTACGAATGCCAGTGTGAGTCCGCCTCTGGGTGAGTCATCGACTGGCGGCACTACCTCTCCAGGGAACAACCCAAATTCAGCACAGCCACAGCCACGGGTAGACGTGCACGCACTCGCACCCCCACCTGATCATGTACAGGCACAAGCACAGGCACACGCGCAACTGCGCGAAAATGCACAGTCACAAGAAAACACGCAGGCACACGCAGCCAGCGACAGCAGTGGCAAGCGGAAGCTGGAATCAATGGCCGAGAGTGCGGGAGGCGATGACACGGACGAGGAAGATCTGAGTGCTCTGGTAGCCGACGAGGCCCATGTGCACACGCTGACGGACATCCACGCACAAGCACACACCACCGACACGGCCAAGCGCCACCACTCTGCAGGGTCGTACGACGGCATGATAGCGCTGTCGGGGGGTGGGCACGTGGGAGAGGAATCCCATGCGCAGAACAATGCACGAGCTCAGGCGCAAGCTCAAGCCCAGGCTCGGGCACATGCACAAGCTCAACACGCACATTCGCTCGCCCTGGCGCACGCGAGTATGCAGGGTCTGGGTATGAGCGCACTCTCCCATCCCGGTTTGGGTATGGGGTTCAATAGCGGGATGGATCTTAACGTCTTACCGCTGCCGGTGTCTGCGGACGGAATGATGGGTGTGTCATCGCTGAATGCAAATGTGGCAAGCGCGTCAGATAGTGCCCTATTTGGCAACAGTGTTAGGATCAACCATGAAATGGCGGAGGGGGCGAAGGTCATGTCAAAGGGCCCGACGAGCAAGTCTGGGATGTCGAAAAAGAACAGCGACTCGTCGAAAGTCCTGGTATGTTGTTATATTAACAGGCTCTGTGTGTGCGCAAGTATATTCATATGTCTATATATGGGCAGGGCGTGTCTGTACGTTTGTGCATCCATATGTGTATATGAGCGGGCATTAAGGCGGGTGTACCTCTGAGTTTGCTTGCATTAAATACATACACATACATGGTCACCCGAGTACAAAAAATGATTTCCGGGAACCATTCGTTTCTTGAAATATATTTAACGGCAAATTCAACATATTTTATTTGTACGGGTAACGTATACTACAATGCGCCGCATGACATCACAGAGACACACGCCCAGATCCTGTCTTGCTCCACTCAAATATATTTATATTCTTTGATATTCAAACAGACTACCAATTTACTCAAGGGATGGCTACGAGAGCACAGCAGCAACCCTTATCCAGATTCAGCCGAAAAATCGCAACTACGCGAAAAGACCGGCATGAGTATGACCCAGGTAGGCTACCGAGTACTTCAATGTACTACATCGTGGGCAAAAATGTTTGTGCTGGTGCTTATACACATCTGTTCACGTTCATGTTTGCATCCCGAAGGATAGAAGTGTCCGATTGTGTGGGTGAGGTTATGTGTAGATATTCGATTGGTATAGATTTTAAGCACGGTCCACGTATATATATATGTATGTATGTATGTATCAGTTTACTGCCTGTATTTTCCATCGCTGTGCGTGGGCCCTATTTATAGGTTTGAAGTGATGGTTGCAATGCCTCCATGATTCCTTTTATAGTTATATAGCAACAATCTGTCATTAAATATCGGATTGTATCAATCAGTATACATATATAAGAATTCATATTTGAAACCAGATATGATTACTCGCATAGTTACAACTCTCCTTCGTGCTCTCATTTCTTCTAGCATATCCACTACTAATCCGCCAATACATATTTCTCACTCGCACTTACTTTCTTATTGATAGATCAACTACTGGTTCACCAATGCCCGCCGACGATACCTGCCGCAAATACAAAACGAGAAAAACCGGGCAGACGAAAAGACTGCGGGTGTCGAGGCCAGTTGATGGAGCTTCATTTCGCCAGAATCACAACTAGAGCTCGCACGTGTATATACAGCGAGGGCTGCGGGCTTGTATATGCGGGCTTCAGGAATATACAAATAGCAGTCCATGTGCACCTGCACGTTCGCTCACTTGCATGCACGCAGACGTGTTCATGCATATGACTTGTCAGAAAGGGCCCGCCCATCAACGAGACGAGTTGGAGCAGCCGCAGTGATATGGATGTGGATCTACTCTCTCCATCATTACATCTGAGTATTACATACACTCAGAGCATACCAAAGATCAACCATGCAGGGCAATATAACATCTCACACCACTGCCGGATAACTGCTACTTATATCATTTACCTACACTTGGACTTATGGATTATCACGATGCTCCTGTGAGTATGGTTTGCGAAGAACATTAAGCGCTCTCACGTTGCGTTGAGTGCCGATAGTGGAAGGTTTGTGTCACACAATGTACTGAGTAATCGGGAACAGCGACGGCATCCATTGCCACTCCCTGGCGCAGGCTCAAACGCTATTCGCTTTCAGTTCATCCGAAGTGTATATATTCAGTCACTGGACGCCAAATTGTGTGACATCGCGAGCTACACAGACGTTCTGGCCGACACCAACTACATAACATTCTCATCCGCCACTTTGACATATTAGTGGGATAGTCAAAGATAGGACCAAGCCCATCTTGTCAATAAATTAGAAGTATGCAAGTACTAATATACAAATAAACACATATGAACCAGCTGCAGCGCGCGGAACTTGGGATTCGCCTCAAAATTGTTACCCAACCTATGATTAATGCTATAGACGCAAGGGAAGTTGCAAACTTTGTGTTGTAGAAATTTGCGATTATGGCGAGGTCGGACGACACGTCTAAAAATCTGGGGAGAGAGATGGGTCGAAGTTGAGTTACAAATTGTGGTACTGTCTCTTGATACAGGAACCGAAGAAATCAACCCAGTGTGGTCATTTGGCTGAATAGTTTGGATAGCAATTGCAAAAGGGAGATTCTGGGTACCTAAGAATATACCTATCTAAAAATCAACCACTCGCAACTCCTCAAAAGTTCACAGAATACTTGAGCTAGGCTGACTGTTCCCAGTTAAAAAAGAGGCAGAATAGTTTCCATGATTTTGTGCATGCTTGAGGTGACACGGCACGTCCATTCATTTGCATGTTCCTATAGCGCTGCGAATATGAATTCAATACCATATTTTATTTTTACGCTTCTCATCCGTACCTCTCTCTAAGCGTATCGACTGCTGAAAATACGGCAGACAGAAAACAAGTGATCGATATGCTTTTAAATGCGAAGTCCTACCAATGTCATTTAAACATGTTTTTCCCAAAACCGCCTCTCGGAGAAGATTTCATCACACGACGTAATACGGGACATCGCCAACTATTAGGTTTGTTCTAGCAGCGTAGTAGTAATTATACTTCATGCTTTCTTGAATGGACAGCCATGATGCTCGATTTATTCAAATCAACTTGTGAATGAATCTAAATACTATCGATGTCTAAATACAATTCTTTAAAATGCGTAACCCAGTTTACTTGCTATGTCCTGTATTTTTTCAGCTAGGGTAAATATATTCTTGCATTTTCTTAAACAAGAGTATGGACAACTTAGAAACCGCAATCTACAGAATTAATCAAACACAATAAATTGGTGCGGTCAGTTGTTCTCATTAAAACTTTAAAAGAAAGAATGGATTGCAAAACCTAAAACCCTACCCTATCACCCGCCTAAAGTACTAACACACTCAATATGAACCAAGTATAATGTGTTCATTACACGCAACTGAGAATTGAAATTCGACGTCCTGATCTGGTGAAGCATTGTTTGTTGATTCCTCGTTGCTTGGCATAAGTTTGCGGATTTGGACGACCCATTTTCTCACATTTGGTGTGTTATGACAGATTCGTAGAGTTCCGCGACCCAGCACAAAGATAATGTTTTTCGGTCCACAGTGATTACATGAGCGACTCAACTGAGATATGACTCGCTTCCATTTGAGCGATATTTCATTACCTTATTCTATTTTTAAAATAACAGCACACGGTAAACAAATCATCACAAACCGATCTAGATAGAAAGGAACGGTTATTTAAGATACCGTCCCGATATTGTCTTGTGCATACGATTTTCAGAATTAAATTGGTATTCGGAACAGGTCAGATGCGTTCAGTACAAAATGGCAAAACGAATGCCCGCCAAAAAGACTCCCGAAGGGCACCTGTTCCTAAAAACATCTCACTGAGTATGAAGATTTTCCATGTTTTAGGGTTTAGGGTTTTAGGATTAGGGTTTTAGAGTTTTCGAAACAGTAGCAATGTTCGCACGCCACTGCATGTCAAGATACTGCTATACAACAGCAACAACGTTTATATTAGTTAATGTGGTCCACAAATATCATACTTAAAATGAGTACGCTCGTTAATAATGATGTTTCTATCACAACAATATCGAACTAGTATCGGTCAGTCACAACTACCATAACTTTTTAAATACCCATACACCACCAACTGGTCGAATAATGTTTTTCTAATGGTTCTTTCTGTCCCTCAATGCCGCAGCAATACTACTACGCGTGAGAACACGGAATAGCAACCGACAAAAGTATCTTCAGAAATGCAATTCACGGGTAATGTACTTTAGGATAATCGCACCAGACTTTGAAAAATAAGTACCTTATAAATGTAATTCACTTATTTTATTATCAAGTATATTATAGATATTTCATTATCAAGTGTGTTATACTTGTTTTATTTTCAAGTATGTTTATTATCGAGTATAATAAACTTATTTTATTATACATATTTTTTATTATCAAGTATATAATATAGATATTTAAGTATCAAGTATATTATACATATTTTATTATCGAGTATATTATACTTATTGTATTATCAAGTATGTTGAACTTATTTTATTAAGTACAATACAATTGTTTTATTATCAAGTATATTATACTTACTTTATTATTTTAGTATATTGTACTTATCTTATTATTAAGTATATTATACTTACTTTATCACCAAGTATATAATATAAGTATTTTATCATCAAGTATATTGTACTTCTTTTGCTATCGAGTATATTATACCCATTTTATTATCGAGTATATTATACTTTTTGTATTATCAAGTATATTATACTTATTTTAATATCAAGTATATTATAGATATTTTATCATCAAGTATACCATAGTTATTTTATTATCTGGTAAATTTTGAACTTATATTATCAAGTATATTATACTTATTTTATTATCAAGTATATCATGCTTATATTGCTAATAAGTATGTTATACTTCTTTTATTATCAAGTATATTATACTTCTTTTATTATCAAGTATATAATATAGATATTTTATTATCAAGGATATTATACTTGTTTATCATCAAGTACTTTATACTCTTTTTATTATCATGTATATTATACTTATTATATTATCAAGTATGTTGTACATATTCTATTATCTACATAGTATATTGTACTTATTTTGTTATCAAGCATATTATAGTTGTTTTATTATCAAGTATACTGTACTAATTTTATTATCCAGTATATTTAATATATTCATTTTAATATCAAGTATATTGTACTTATTTTATTCAGTATATTATGTTTATTTCACTATCAAGTACTTTATACTCCTTTTATTATCAATTATATTATACTTATTTTATTGTCGAGTATATAATATAGATATTATTTTATCAGGTATATTATATTTATTTTATCATCAAGTTTATTATACTTATTTTATTATCAAGTATATTATACTTGTCATATTATCAAGTATGTTGTACTTATTTTATTATCAAGTAGTTGACGATGAGAAGTACGACAGGAGCGAAGGGGCATGCGTATATCTATTCCGAGTTTCGAACACATTGTATGACTCATTCAGTTTCTCCATCTCTTCAGGACTGAATTTCAACATCTGCGCAAACACCTGTTGATGGTATACCAATAGAAAAGAGTCAGAACAACGAAGAAATGCGGACGATCTTAATAAACGGAAGAAGATATTGGTTTGCCGAATAGTTAGCTAAAACGCTAAACCCAAATAGACGTACGACCTTACAGACAAGAAAGACGCACACATCCAGCCTGTGGCAAAACCACATGCCTCGTGCGTGCCTTATGACTAACCCGTTACTTACCATGAGGAAGGGTTTCCTCGTTTTTTCCTCCTGGGCTTCTAGGAAAGATAAGAGTACCTTCTTGAGATATTCTAAGTTGAATGCCTCGTTTCTCGCCGCGTTCCTCTCGAGTCTCCGGATTTCTTCCTGTAGTTGTGTGACGAGCAGTGGCAAAGTGCACGTGTCAGCCATCTCCAGAGTAGATAGGTGTATGTATCTCTTCTATACGCATAGAGCACTGTCAAGGTCACAGCTAGAGCTACCCCGTAGGCACCAATAACTACTGATCAATCCTGAGCGAGTGGGTATCACTGAGGAGTTTCGTGTACAATACACCCAATGATGTAGTCAACTGTGTAGCCACCGTTCATCTATCTGTACCTGCGTGCAAGTAGCACATACCTTTAGCACTCGCTGTTGCTCTTCCATGCGCATGCCGGAGCTTTCCAAATCACTCACAAGCTCTCTGAGATGCGTGATGGTCTTCTGCGCGACTTCTAACTCTTCTCGTTTTTTCTGCATAGCCTATGTCAAGAGGCATTTACAAAATGAAACAGATTAATTTTTCAATCAATACAACGCGCACTCAAAGATACCCCGAGAAAAACGTTAAATAGTGCATAGTGCACCAGATACCCCGAGAAAAACGTTAAATAGTGTACCAGATACCCCGGGAAAGCCGTTAAATAGTGTACCAATGAAAGGGACATGTAACAATAGATTGCAATATATCACATAATGTATTATACCAAGTCCTCTGGTTGTTGTAAAACAGTGTCGACCTGATAATATGCATATAATGTGGGACAAAAACAATGGCGCAGCCTGCAACACGTCTCCTGCATCTATACCCCCAAACACATGTCTAAAAAGAACAACTACACTAAACAAAAACGTCAGACATGTCTGAACCAAAACCTATCTACCCACTCCACATTGCTTTTATAATTCAAAACAGCATGTAGGTACGATGAACTCCACGCACCTGCGAATATTGGTTCGGGTTGCCAAATGACGGATTGCGCTGGGCGGTTTGGGGTGACCCGGGGGGTGTGTTGGCTGTGTTGTAGCTAAGCAGTCGTTCTAAGTCTATTGTTTGAGATTGTGTTGACGGGGTCCGCAGATTGTTAGACACTGTCGGATCTGTTGCGGCCATCTGCGGTGTGTTCCTCCTCAGCGGTTCTGAGTGGGATAGATTTTGTATATAGTATTAGTGTGGTTCAGACATACCTTTATATATCGACGTAGGATGAATTTTGTATATAGTACTATTGTGATTCAGACATACCTTTATATATCGACACAAGTACATATGTGCAAAAGCATGGATTTTCTTCTCTTTCACAGACTAAATTTAGACAAGCGGCATATTACAATTATCCAAAGCTTCAAGAGAGTGCGCAATGAGGACTCCCCTTCTATTAATAAGCACAATTAGGAATGAATCTTTTATTGGGATTTCGGGGTGAACACATATACTTACATGTATGCTAACGACCCTGTTGCTATACGCAAGTCAACGACTCTGATATTTGAAGCACCGACACATCACAGTACAACCATGAATCTTGCATCGGTTTAATACGAACAGACTTAGACAACTACCGTAAGCATCATATTCCAAACCAAAATTTGCTGATTCGCATAAACACAGGCTATACTATTCATGTTTGCACCGACAAACATACCCTGTTCAGCATTGGACGCCTCCTGGATTGCGAGGTAGAAGCAAATGATAGAGCCATAGCGTTAATCGAGAGGGTATGGGGATTTATAGAAGCAAATGATAGAGCCATAGCGTTAGCCGAGAGGGTATGGGAGTTTATATTGTGTGACACTGGGCCACAAGTGGCGTCGAAAGGGAGACATCACGAGACCCACGAGATACAACAAACACCACTCCCAATGTGACAGGTGTTGGTGTACGCTAAGACAACTCTAGCACAATCTCGAGTGACTTGCTGTAGCGTCTAGAACAACCAAAAGTGTACCAGACATCGAGTCTCTCTCTCTCACAACACACAAATATATAATAATACATATTTATATCCATATATATATATATATATATATACATAGCGGCCTAGTGATCTACAACTACTCTGAACGGTACCCACCTCCGCTCGCCTGAGCATATCTCGCAGCAGCTCTTCCTGCGTGTGCAGTCGCTCCACCGCTTGTTCGGAGGCTCTGAGTTGGTCCTTGAGATCCATGCACTCTTCTTTGGCTTCGTCTAAATCAGTCTTCAGGTCTTCGATCTGTTGTCGATTGCAATTTCAGGCGGAGATGGAGTCAGAGGATTTGGCCTGCAAAACACGGCACAAAACGTGTCCGTCACACGCGCACAAGTGCCAAGAATGTGCAATCCACGTACACAATACCCTTGTAAGATAGTACAGAACTACCTTTGTAAGATACAACTACCCTCGAAAGATAGAACGATAGCCTATAACCCTAGCCAGACATTGCATACCTCCTGCTGCAGTTCTTTCACCAGTGCTCGTTCGTTTTCGAGTTGGGTTTGAATGGGCTTGAGCAGTGCGTCTATCTCCTCAGAGGTTCTGCTTTGGGTTGCCTTGGTTTTGCTCCGCTGTAGTTGGGCACGAGCCAGCTCAACAGACATTGCCTGAAGACGCGCCTGCATTCAAGCGTGGGTGGGTGGGTGATGAAATGTGTCTTAGTTGAGTGAAGTATCGGCTTCATAGGTACGTGTTGCGATAGTTATTGCTGGCATGGCCACTATCCACCGCTATAGGCAAGGGTGCTGGGTGCTGAGGAGCACACTGTGCCGTACTCCCAAGTCTAAAACATGGTTTCAGCTAAAACCCTAAACCTTAAAACCCTAAACCAGACTCTTATACGAAAACAATCTCAAGAATATCAGTTTACTCAAACGAGCGCACCCTACAACCCTAAAACCACACCGGGCACACTAGTATACATACCATTCACCACAGCACACAACTACTAACCTCTAGTTGTTGTCTATCCTTCTCCTTTTGTTCGTGTTCGCCCACGCTTGTGCGCAGTCTACTGTTGGCTTCGTACAGGGAACCTGTGGATGAGAGAAACAGAACCAGAATAGATCAGTACGGGTGTTGAGCCGTACGGACACTACTGGCCCTAACCTATCTCGCGCATATGCTGCAGATACGCAGATTATAAAACAGTAATGTACACCAGTCGCTAAAATGAACAGTCACATGCCAAGACGAGCCATTCATGTCACTATGTTCAGAACGATAGATGTGTGTCATAATGCACAATAGAAACCTCATATCATTCGTAAACTGGATGTAACAGGGATCCATATACAGGGATATATATATATATATATATGTATATATATATATATATATATATATATATATATATATATATATATATATATATATATATATATATATATATATATATATATATATATATATATATATATATATATACTATATATATATATAGTATATATAT